CAGATATTTGGGAGGGGACGTGTCAGCGGATGGGTCTATGAAAGATGAGGTGAATCATAGAATTGATGAGGGAAAAAGAGTGAGTGGTGCACTTAGGAGTTGTGGAGACAAAGAACTTTGTCCTTGGAGGCAAAGAGGGGAATGTATGAGAGTATAGTTTTACCAACGCTCTTATTGGGTGTGAAGCGTGGGTGATGAATGTTGCAGCAGGAGAAGGCTGGAGGCAGTGGAGATGTCATGTCTGAAAGGGGAATGTGTGGTGTGAATATAATGCAGAGAATTCGTAGTTTGGAAGTTAGGAGGAGGGCGGGATTACCAAAACTGTTGTCCAGAGGGCTGAGGAAGGGTTGTTGAGGTGGGTTCGGACATGTAGAGAGAATGGAGCGAAACAGAATGACTTCAAGAGTGTATCAGTCCCCGTAGTGGAAGGAAGGCGGGGTAGGGGTCGGGGCCCAGGAAGGGTTGGAGGGAAGGGGTAAAGGAGGTTTTGTGTGCGAGGGGCTTGGACTTCCAGCAGGCATGCGTGAGCGTGTTTTTGATAGGAGTGAATGGAGACAAATGGTTTTTAATACTTGACGTGCTGTTGGAGTGTGAGCAAAGTAACATTTATGAAGGGATTCAGGGAAACCGGCAGGCCGGACTTGAGTCATGGAGATGGGAAGTACAGTGCCTGCACTCTGAAGGAGGGGTGTTAATGTTGCAGTTTAAAAACTGTAGTGTAAAGCACCCTTCTTGGCAAGACAGTGATGGAGTGAATGATGGTGAAAGTTTTTCTTTTTCGGGCCACCCTGCCTTAGTGGGAATCGGCCAGTGTGATAATAAAAAAAAAAAAAAAAAAAAGTATAGTTATTTTTTTACAACACTGAAGGACATGCAATAGCACATGTGAAATAGGCATAGGGAACAGACTTCTTTTGGTGGGGAGACATAAAACTGGACGAGTTTTATGTAAGGGCAAATAAATCTTGAAATCAAATCATCAGGTTACACTAATCAGCTTATATACACGATACAACAAGATATATTTATATATGGTATAGCTACCTGCTGCCCATATTTGGGTATATATGGTATAGCTACCTGCTGCCCATATTTGGGTATATATGGTATAGCTACCTGCTGCCCATATTTGGGTATATATGGTATAGCTACCTGCTGCCCATATTTGGGTATATATGGTATAGCTACCTGCTGCCCATATTTGGGTATATATGGTATAGCTACCTGCTGCCCATATTTGGGTAAAATAAGATTTGTTCGGAGTTTTTACCCTGGAGGGTTAGCCACACAGGATAACCCAAGAAAGTACATCATCAAGGACTGTCCATCTTATTTCCTTTGGGGTCCTCAATTTTGTCCCACAGAATGCGACCCACACTAGCCGACTAACACCCAGGTACCTATTTGCTGCTAGGTGAACAGGACACCAGGTGTAAGAAAATGCTGTAAAATGTTTCTACCCCGCCGGGAATCGAACCCAGGTCCTCCCTGTGTGAAGTGAGAGCTTTGCCAGCCAGGCCACAGGGCCTAGTATATATGGTACAGTTACCTGCTCCCCATATTTGGGTATATATGGTTCAGTTAACTGTTGCCTATATTCACCAAGAAGTAATTGGGCACCACTGATGCAGTAGTAAAAATGCTTGACTTGAGGTGTTCCTCTCGAAAACTGAATATGCAATGGGCCTCTTTATCATTCTGAAGAAAATCTTTAATACAGTAGGTCACAACATCCTACTGCTCATCCTAGACCATTATGGAATCAGAGGGCATGCTCTCGTATGTGAAGTCTGGCCTTAGTGACAGACGCCAACAAGTGACCATGAACGACTGTGCTTCAGTAACCTGATCGGCTACCATAGGGGTGCCACAAGGCAGTCTCCTGGGACCTCTGCTATTCTGCATCTATATCAGTGTCCTTCCTAATTCTTCACAGGAACTAAAACGAATTCTGTTTGCAGATTGCACAACTTTTCTTGTCTCAAATGTAGATCTGGCTTCACTCAGCATAGTTAATGTTGAACTTGGAAAGATATCTACCTGGATGATAACTAACACACTCACGTTTAATGTTCGTAAGAACATTTCAAGAAATTCCTATCAACATTAATACATACATAGATTCATAAAACACACCTTCACACACACCATTTTCTTTTTTTTAAGTCGAACAAAGGAGCTGCCGACCTTGTAATGTTTAGAAACAAAGCTCAAGATATTCATTTGATAATAGAAATAAATAATAAACCACTTTAAAGGAAGGAGAAGGACAAATTCTTGAGAATTTATCAGTGTCGCAAATTAAAACTGAACACATTCAGAACATTTCTAAGAAAATTTTCAAAACAGTGGGTATTCTCTCAGAAATACACTTGTTTGTCACAAACATTTTTGCTTACTATGTTTAATTTAAATATCAAGTAAAGGGAAATACTCAGGAATTATTGTCACCACCTTAATTTTACCACTCCATAAAGTGAGCCTAATTGAACTGATATAATTTAATGTCAACTATCTGCCATTATCCAGTGTATCATTTTCAGCCTGTATCTTTGTACCCATAATAAATTCTTTCTTCACAGATAGTCAGCTTTAACACTTTAATCTTTTTGATTATCCAGCACCTTATTTAATATTTAATTTATTTCTACAAGTACATGTACAAGGTATACAGGCCTAGCTGACATCAGTGGCATACTACTACAGTGGAACCTCGCTTTTCGTCATTAATTCGTTCCAGAAAGTCTGACGAAAAACAAATTCGACGAAAACTGAAAAAATATTTCCCATAAGAAATAATGTAAATCCAATTAATCTGTTCCAGACACCCAAAAGTACTAACAAAAAATACATTTTCTAGAGAATAACTATAGTTTTACATACAGAAAACAATGAGAAATACTAAATATAAAGGACTAATGAAACTGATAAATGAACATTTAACATCACTTTTACCTTTATTGAAGACTTGTTGGCGTATGGAAGACGGCAAAGAGGGGAGAGGTTATCTCTACCACCATCACTACCACCCTCTATCACAAACACTACCACTTTCTACCACAAACACTACCACCCTCTACCACCATCGCTACCACCCTCTACTACCACCCCCTACCACCATCACTACCCCATCACTACCACCCTCTACCACCATCACAACACTACCACCCTCTACCACCATTGCTACCACCCTCTACTACCACCACTACCACCCCCTACCACCATCACTACCACCATCACTACCACCATCACTACCCCTCTACCACCATCACAACCACTACCACCTCTACCACCATTGCTACCACCCTCTACTACCACCACTACCACCCCTACCACCATCACTACCACCATCACTACCACCCTCTACCACCATCACTACCACCATCACTACCACCATCACTACCATCCTCTACCACTATCACTACCACCCTCTACCTTTGTAGAGGATAGTAGTGATATTTCTCCACACAACTTTGCAACTCATTCTATGAGTTCTTTCTTGAATTCTATTGTGTTTCTCACCTTTTTTATCAAAGGGCTGGCACTCAGAAGTTTCTTTGGCCCCAAGTTGGCTTATTTAGCAGTCACACTTAATAAACAAGCACAAAAAACAATGGATTATTACGAAATGTTTTGGACGATCATGCAGGGCAATGCTCACTTGACAGGAAACAAAGCCAGACTGACTCAGAACACATGGGATGCTTTGTGCGAGTGTGGATGGACATGTTCGGTACGGTGGACCGTTGTCAACTCGATGAAAACGAAGGTGATGAAAGAAAACTTGGACAAAATTTTGACGAAAAAGTCATCGAAAGCCGAATTCAACAAAAACCAGGGCAAACGAAAACCAAGGTGCCACTGTATATAGAAAGCCGCTTGGTATGCAGAGCATTTCAGGCAAATTAGGTCAATTTTGTCCCAGGATGCGACCCACATCGGTCAGCTAACATCCAGGTACCTATTTTTACTGTTGGGTGAACATGGACAGTCGGTGTAAGAAAACACACCCTTATGTTTACACCCTTGCCAGGAATCAAACCCGGACCCTCAGCATGTGAAGCAAGAGTTTTTGCTACCAGGCCACAGGAATGAATTACTCACACTGCACACAATGCCTAAAATTATGTATGTGCTAAGACTAGAATTAAGCAGTATGTTAGTTTTAGGATTAGTTTGCCTGATATTCTTTGCATTAATATTAAGTGGCTTTCTTTTAAGCATACTTTTGTATTGCATCATTTTTATGGCATCATAGTATCAAACCTGCAACCAAAATAAGCTTCTCCATTATTTTAACCTCCCTATGTATGCTCTTAGAAACAAATATTTTGATTTCAGTTGATTAATTTTGTTAGGTGACAATGATGCTCTGACTTTATTAGGTTATCCAGGGCTAATAATACAAGCAGAATGTTTAGGATCATCATATGTACCTGCAGTCTGACATGCCACTATAAACACTAACAAAGGCAGTGAGCAGAATTCTAGTCATGCTTTCTGCAGATTTATTGTCAAGTATCTTTGATGGCAAACACATTCTGAAAATGAAGTAAAAATAATAGCATCCCCCTGCTCCCATCTTTCAAGTGAAAAAATTAAACTTTTTTTTTTATGAACTGAAGAATGAAAATATTAAAATAAGACAGTAAACATAATGCCAATTTCTGTATACAGTATGTGAAAATTAACAGAATTTAATGACAGCTATTTGTTGCTGATTAACCTACAATTATGAACAGCTTCAGAAAACATTTTTCTCATCCTTTTTGTGTACAAAAGAAATTTTCACTGATAAATTTATTCTTTCTCTAAAGTGGTATCTTTTATTTTTGTACATTTTACCCAAATCTGCAGTCTCCAAGCTAATATACCCAAAATATGCTCACAGCCCATAATTTTACGAGTACTGTTACTTAAACTAATCTAAATTGTTAGTATATAAGTACATATATACCATCAAAATGATACTGTACTCAAGCAGTTAGTTATTTACAGAGATGGAGCCATCTCTACTGAGCCTTGAGAAACTTGACCGCTCCAGTCCAGATTTGTGGCCAGAACAAAGTAAGTTACCATGTCTACCCACATTTTGACTTATTATACAATTCAGTAAAATCTCAATTTAATGAACCCTGATTTAGTGTATTTTGAATATAAAGGTCAGAATCTGTGGCCCATCATTGTCCAGAAACAATTGACAAAATTTGTTATATCCAGAATTGTTTGTTATTGTTATGGTCCACTGTGTAAATTTATTTTGCATTTAGTCTATTAAATCCAGAAGTGTCCATTATTGTTATGGTCCACTGGGTAAATTTATTTTGAATCTAAAGGACAAAGGCTATTAAATCCAGAATTGTCTGTTGTTGTTACAATCATGGATAGACAAAACCATCATTTGGATTTATCAGTCAGTCGGCATTAATGGATACCACCTACTTCCTGTTAGATTGTTAAATCGAGGTTTTACTCGTATCTAACTATCCATACAGTATTGTACTGTATTTGAAAGTTGTTATGTTTATTAAACCCACATTTATAAACACATTAATAGTATTTAAAAAAAATTACTCATTGAATTAAGATTTGAACATGCTTAAAATATTGTACCTAGATACAGGTGTCCCTTGCTTTATATGTTAGATGCAGTCCAGGCCCTTGGCTGGCACATAGTGATGTAGCATAAAGTGAACCAAATTTATCACATAAAACAGCTATACATCCTGAGACCTGCAAATTCCACATTTTTCATCTTCTGAATTTGGTCAACAGATAACTGATATGATAAAATAACTGACTATTTGGTCCCACTGAAGTTGCCAGTAATCAGTAATCTACAGTACTGTACTATACTCTATTACTCTGAAGATTGAGACACTTATGCAACATATGGGAATCTTTATTCAGGAAATGTTTTGCCACACAGTGGCTTCATCAGTCCAATACAAAGTAGAAAGGCATAAGGAGAGGAGTTTGATGTAATCAGTCCCTCAGCCTGGAGTCGATGTGTTCAGTCCATCAATCTTGTAGAATGTACAGCATAAGGACAAATTCCAACTACTCCGTTATGGAAAACTGGAGGAGATAATAACTAGAACAGAGTATACTACTGACTCCGGCCATACAATAGAGCGGAAAAATAATGTAAGGGACCTGGGAGTAGTAATGTCTGAGGATCTCACTTTCAAGGATCACAACAGTGCCACGATCGCACGTGCAAAGAAAATGATAGGATGGATAATGAGAACTTTCAAAACGAGAGATGCCAAGCCCATGATGATCCTTTTCAAATCACTTGTTCTCTCTAGGCTGGAATATGCTGTACATTAACATCTCCATACAAAGCAGGTGAAATCGCAGATCTAGAGAGTGTACAGAGATCCTTTACTGCACGTATAAGTTCTGTCAAGCACCTTAACTACTGGGAATGCTTGGAAGCACTTGACTTGTACTCGTTGGAATGCAGGAGGGAGAGATATATCATAATCTACACTTGGAAAATCTTGGAAAGGAATGGTCCCAAATCTGCACACAGAAATCACTCCCTACAAAAGTAAAAGACTGGGCAGGCGATGCAAAATGCCGCCAATAAAAAGTAGGGGCGCCATTGGTACACTAAGAGAAAACACCATAAGTGTCCGGGGCCCAAAATGTTCAACAGCCTCCCATCAAGCATTAGGGGAATTGCAATAAACCCCTGGCTGCCTTCAAGAGAGAGCTGGACAGATACCTAAAGTCAGTGCCGGATCAGCCGGGCTGTGGCTCATACGTCGGACTGCGTGCGGCCAGCAGTAACAGCCTGGTTGATCAGGCCCTGATCCATCGGGAGGCCTGGTCATGGACCGGGCCGCGGGGGCGTTGATCCCCGGAATAACCTCCAGGTAACCTCCAGGTAGGGCCGTAGATGTGGCTTATATACTGCAGTGAGGTGAGGCGAAGCAGGAGGTGGTGGGGTCATAGTGGAAACCTCCACTAGTCGAAGTAGGTCTTCGTCCAAAGGTTGGACAAGTGTTGAAGAATTCTTTATAACAAGATCCCATGATGCTGCATTGTCTGACAGTTGTGATGAATGGTTTGAAAAACTGATAAGTTGAAGATTGAGACACAACCCGCACATAAAAGAGAGAAGCTTACGACGACGTTTCGGTCCGACTTGGACCATTGACAAAGTCACACTAACCAGAAGTGGAGCAGGACGGCTATATATAGACAGGAAGAGGTGGTGGTGGTAGTAGTAGTAGTAGTAGTACAAGAATGGTATATAATACCGACAAGATGAAATTAAGACACATGCGCAACACCCGGGCATCCCTATCGTAGACGTTTCGCCATCCAGCCAGCCACTGGATGGCGAAACATCCACAACAAAGACAACCAGACGCCGCACATGTGTCTTAATTTCATCAGTAGTTGTAGTAGTAGTAGTAGTAGAAGAGGTAGTAGTAGTGGTAGTAGTAGAAGTGGGAAATAAGGAGGACGAGCCAGTAAATACAAAGGAAGGGGAGCACTGCAAGAGAGCTAGGTGCCCACTGAGGGAGAGCAAGTGCACAGAGGTGCGTGAAAGGGGAAGTGGTGAAATAAATGAAGAAGGAACAGAAACACGAGACAGAAGAGAGAAAGACAACCCAGAGGAGAAAAGGAAAGAGGAAAGGGGAAGAGGGAGAAGAAAAAAAAGAAAAAGAAAAAATGAGGAGTCAGGTTAAGTCACGGGTGTTCTGAAGTTTGGAGCATTTTATAATGTAGTGGGAGAGGAAGGCATCTACAGAGACAAAGCCAGAGCTAAGGTTCATACAAGGAAAGTTGTGTATTAGAGAGGATTCAACTAGATGTCGACTGTTCGAGTTGGATGTAGGGAAGACAGTTTTAGCAGAAGACCAGTCAATAGGATGGCTATGATCTCTGACGTGACAGAAAAGAGCATTGTTAGTGCCGGCAAGCCTAACACTATTTTTATGCTCCCTAAGTCTGTCAGAAAGAGATCCACCAGTTTCTCCGAAGTATTGAAGAGGACAGGAGGAGCAAGAAATAGAGTAGACACCAGGAACATCTGTAGAGGGAGGAGAGGTATGAACGAGATTAGTGCGAAGAGTGTTAGTCTGGCGGAAGGTAAGCTTGATGTCTACCACTACCACTACTACTACCTCTACTACTACTACTACTACTACTACAACTACTACAACTACTGATGAAATTAAGACACATGTGCGGTGTCTGGTTGTCTTTGTTGTGGACGTTACGCCATCCAGTGGCTGGCTGGATGGCGAAACGTCTACGATAGGGATGCCCGGGTGTTGTGCATGTGTCTTAATTTCATCTTGTCGATATTATATACTATTCTTGTACTACTACTACTGCTACTACTACTACCACCACCTCTTCCTGCCTATATATAGCCATCCTACCCCACTCCTGGTTAGTGTGACTTTGTCAATGGTCCAAGTCGGACCGAAACGTCGTCGTAAGCTTCTCTCCTTTATGTGCAGGTTATTTGTGTATCGTTCCAGTCACGGTATTGTGCCTTTTTTGTTATTTATGGACCCCGCAGTTAAGCGTCATATTCTCTCCAACTTTTTTAATGTTCTTCCCTCTTTTAAACACCTCTTTCGATCTTATGAGGCTGCTCTTATTGCTACCAGGCGTCGTAAGAATCAGCTTCGCTTCCTATGTGACTGTCTTGCTGAACAAGTTCTGCCCCCTTCTCCCACTTCCTGAAAACCAACCCACTGGGCACTCCCTTTCCTGATCATGCCCGTCTCCTACTTCAACAGCTCATTCTTTCTACTAAATCACAGGTTGAAGATGCCTTCTTTACTTTCCGTCAACGTCAACGTGCTCTCTTTGCGGCTCTACCACAGGATCTCTGTAACCTTCTCTCTACTATTGCCTTTGACACTGCTCGCCTGAATACACAAATTCATTCTTCCAAACTACAGAATAAACTTCAACGTCTCATCTCAGCTAGCCCTTGGTCTAAATTCTCCCTCACTGACTGTGTTACTAACTTGTCTTCTGTCTCACTCTCCCAGTATGAGCTTGAACTTCTTGGTTTTGGCCTTTCCTTTGCCACTTCGCCTACTCCTCGCGCTGGTATTTCCCTGATTAGCTCTTTTGATTCCTTTCGTCAATCTCGCTCCCGTAATCTTCCTGACTTGTCCACTTTTCGTGGCGCTCTCCTTCCTGCTCTTGTTAGTCTGTTTTCTAAGAATCACCACCTTCCACGCCTTTAGCAACTTGCCCTTTCTTCTCTTAAATCCAACACTAACATTATCATACTATCTTCTGACAAAGGTAATTCGGTAGTTATCCTTGATCGCGAGGATTACCTCCGTAAAGCTGTTGTCTTGCTCTCTGACTCACGTACCTACACTCCTCTCGTTTCCAACCCTCTTGATCGCATCAAGGGAGCTTTCAACAAAAAACTAAGGACTCTCTCCGACCTCTGTCCTCCTGACTTTGACCTTGTTCAACGGTTTCGTGTCATCTGTCCCTCTCTTCCCTATTTCTGTGGCCTTCCCAAAACTCATAAACCTGATATTCCTCTCCATCCTATCATATCCTCTAGAGGTTCTGTCTCTTATTCTCTTGCTTCTTGGCTGGCCAAAACCCTCACTCCCTTGGTACTTTTTCTCCTGCCCACCTCCGTCACTCTCAAGACTTCATTGAACGGGTTCGCTCTCTCCTAACCTGTAAGATGCTTAGTCTTGACGTTGAGTCCCTCTTCACCAATGTCCCTCTTGATGATGTCCTTGATTTCCTTAGAGAGAAGGCCCATGAAGGGTTTCTTCATCTCCCTATACCTGCTGATGTCTTTCTTGATCTTATCTGCCTCTGTGTGGACTCTAACTCCTTTTCCTTCCAAGGGAAATATTATTCTCAAACCTTCGGTGTCGCTATGGGCTCTCCTCTCTCTCCTGTCCTTGCTAATCTTTACATGGAATACTTCGAGACTGTTCTTCTTCCTACCCTCGATGTGCAACCTTCACTCTGGCCCCGCTATGTGGATGACATTTTGCTCTGTGGCCTCATGACTCCAGTCTCTTCCAACCTTTTCTTGAAGCTCTTAA